TACAACTTAATCATAGTTAGTTTTCAGTTGCTTATTTACTTTCATTCTTAGTTAGTAGAAATAACATCAATTGTTATTGACAACATTTGGGAAGTTGATTTCTGAGAATTTAGTAAATCCAACGAAAGTAATTGATAGGTTAATTCCTTGTGGGTTTAACTCTGGGCTAAATACTCAGATTATATTTGCAACGTCCGCGTGTCCTTTTTATAAGGTATAATTGGGCGCGATCAATCTTATACTTGTTCTGTTCAGTAAAATTGACCCAACTGAATCTACATGTTGCCCGCAAAATAAGGAATTCAGACTAAGATGCTACCGATGAATGCAACCGTAGCACACTGTGTGAGCATTTGTGGTATTTCTCATCATAAATAATTCTAAAAACAAATGGAAGAAGTTGTTTTTTGGAACTTTATCATAATATAGAATATTGATAATTTGATATACTTCATGCGTTACTTGCTAGTGAAATAATATGTTTTCGTCTTCAAATTAATTTATGATAAATGCATTTGTTGTATTTATTTAAAAGTCTATGCTAATAATACTCTGATCTGCCGTAACTATCTTAAAAAGTTCAAGTTAGCTTATACTATTATGTAACATGGTTTCACTTGAAAGAGTGGCTAAACTAGGATCAAGCAAAATAAAGTTTTCTATAAATGTTTCCTCTTTCCCCAAAAGCATTGTTAATTGTGGAGAGTTTATTGGGCCTAATATCTAGAGTTCGGAACCAAAATGTTATTTTTTTGGATAAAAATAACATTAATAAGTGTAAAAAAAAAAGTTATCATTCTATATTTTAAACCGCGCTATATATGTATAGTGCATGTATTAACTGTGTTATATATATAATGCATGAAATCACCAAATTGAACACGAAATCATTGGGCGGCCTAATGGTTAAAGAGTAGTTATGAAGATGGTTTTGTCCTTGAGGTACAAGGTTCAAATCCCTACACCGACATTCTTATATTTTCCTATTTCTTTTTCATTTTTTCATTATTTGGTTTAAGTGTTTAGTTATAAATATTTTAATAGAGAAGCCTTTTATTATTTCTTTAAATAATCAACCAATACTTTTAATAGTTATTTTCTGTCATACGTAAAACAAAATTATTTTTTGNATATATATATATATATATATATATATATATTTGGTTGAATTATTTTATTTTTTGATATCTTTCTTTCTAAATTAGTTAGCAAACATATATTATTCAATAGATAAGAAAAAGAATATAATTCAAAAAATAGAAAAATATCTGGATATCTATATTATATTAAAAGGAGAATAGTGAAGCATGTGGTTAAGTCAAGTGACAAGCTAAAAAAATTTATAATTTTTTATTTTGAATAGTCTAAAATATTTTGAATAATCAAATAAATTTTTTATCTTGCCACTTGACTTGACTAATCAAATAATCTAATCAAATTGTCTAATTTTATCTTGCCCTATAATTACGGTATTGCTAATATTTAAAGACCTACTAAATGATAATTACAAATAAGTATGATTAACTCTAGATTCAAAATATAAAATTTATTTTTTAGTTAAGAATTTTTATATATCAATATGATAAAAATCAAGAATATTGCTTGGCATATAATATTACCCCTTATATGATAATATTTAAATTACGGTATTGCTAATATTTAAAGGTCTACTAAATGATAATTACAAATAAGTATGATTAACTCTAGATCCAAAATATAAAATTTATTTTTTAGTTAAGAATTTTTATATATCAATATGATAAAAATCAAGAATATTGATTGCCATATAATGTTACCCCTTATATGATAATAATCAAATAAATTTTTTATCTTGCCACTTGACTTGACTAATCAAATAGTCTAATCAAATAGTCTAATTTTATCTTGCCCTATAATTACGGTATTGCTAATGTTTAAAGGCCTACTAAATGATAATTTCAAATAAGTATGATTATCTCTATATTCAAAATATAAAATTTATTTTTTAGTTAAGAATTTTTATATATCAATATGACAAAAATCAAGAATATTGCTTGGCATATAATATTACCCCTTATATGATAATATTTAAATTGTAAATACCTAATTATTTCTACATTTAAATTTTAAATAATTTTTTATTTTGAATAGTCCAAAATATTTTGAATTATCAAATAAATTTTTTATCTTGCCACTTGACTTGACTAATCAAATAGTCTAATTTCATCTTGCCCTATAATTACGGTATTGCTAACGTTTAAAGGTCTACTAAATGATAATTACAAATAAGTATGATTAACTCTAGATTCAAAATATAAAATTTATTTTTTAGTTAAGAATTTTTATATATCAATATGATAAAAATCAAGAATATTGATTGGCATATAATATTACCCCTTATATGATAATATTTAAATTAGAAATTTCTAATTATTTCTATATTTAAATTGTAAATACCTAATTATTTTTAGCTTGCCACTTGACTTAACCACATGCTTCACTATTCTCCTTTTAATATAATATAGATATCCAGATATTTTTCTATTTTTTTGGATTGTATTCAACCTTGTACATCAAGGACAAAACCATCTTCATAACTACCCTTCAACCATTGGGCCGCCCAATGGTTTCATGTATAATGTGGTGATTTCATGTGTTATATATATAACGCAGTTAAGATATGCGCTATACGTATATAGCGCGGTTCTAAACCGCGCTATGCTTTAACGGCTAAAACACCGTTAAAGTATAACGTGGTTTAAAATCGCACTATATATAGAATGGTAACTTTTTTTTTTTTTACACTTATTAATGTTATTTTTGTCCAAAAAAAACAAACATTTTGGAGCAAAAAGGTAGCCTCGACCGAAACTGGACCCCGACAAAAATGAAGTCAACTAAATTGGAGTTTCGTTTATAAAAGGTATTTTTATACAAATAGCTGGTCGGATTTGCTGTTTACTTTCTGGTATACATAGATTATATGTATTTTTTATTTACATAGATTATAAACTGATTATATACAGGTTACATATATATTAGATATTTGCTGACTATTTTTTAGTTTAAACGGTTGGGTGGGTGGTTATTTAGGTTATTTCTTCTATAAAATATTGGGCTGCATACGTTTTTAACAAAATTCGAAACAGGGCCGCAGAAGAAGTTTATTAAATTAGCAATAAAACAATTCAGTGGTTCCAACTGAAAATTGAGATTGGATGACTGAGTTCCCACGAGCTGGTACACTTACCATTGACACCGAAAACTATTAGTATAAGCCTATAAGGAACGTTTTTGGTTGGCAGTGATTATTATAAACAACTACTTATAAATGAATTGTATTTAGTGTAAAACAAATTTTAACTGTAAGTGTAAAAATTAACCCCCCCCCCCCCCC